GGCCCGTAACGCCAGCAGCCTCATGAGCGAGGTGGGCATCTCTGAAGCTCCTGCCGTGTGTGTGTGTGTGTGAGGAGTGTTTGTGAGCATCTGATTGGATGAGAGGAGTCAAAGTGTATTTCTGTGTGTGTCTCGAACAGAAGGAATATCGTAAGGATCTGGAACAGGAAGTGAAAGGGAAAAGCCTGACGGGTCTGGAGGAAACGCCGGATCTGGTGCGGGTGAAAAACGCTGGACACATTCTCAGTGAGGTACACACACTCACACACACACACACACACACACATACACCCTAACCCGACCCCTGACCCTAAACGACCCTTAACCTAAATATAACCTGATTCCTAAAACCAATCCTTGACCTTCAAACTGGACTTTAAAGAGGTCTCGGAAAGTGAAACTAAGTAAAACTTTACTCACTCGATGGTCTAAAGCTCAAACTGTTAGTTGTACATGTACACACACACACACACACACACACACACACACACACACACACGTCACTGTGCTTGAGCTTCATCATGACTTGTCTCTGCTCTCCAGAAGGAATATCGCAAGGATCTGGAGCGCGAGATCCGAGGGAAGAGATCCGACGTCACATCAGACAGTCTGGAGATGCAGAGGGCGAAGAAGGCGTCTGAGATCAGCAGCGACGTGAGTGACAGATCACACACACACACACACGCGCGCGTGTCGGACACGGTGTGTGTGTGACAGGGACTCACTGACTGTGTGTGTGTGTTCCAGGTGAGCTACAGGCAGGCGTCTCAGCCGGGAGGATCCTCATACGCGACAGTGACGGACACACCTGCACTTCTGCACGCCGCTTACCTGAGAGACGTCTACAGCCAGGTCACATGACACAGCGTCTGCAGCAGAGGACCTGTTAGAGGACTAGAGCTGATGTTCATCCGTGTGTGTGTGTGTGTGTGTGTGCAGAAGAAGTACCGCGGTGACGTGGAGCACCTGAAGGCCTCGAGCTCTAAAGCTTCAGACACACCAGAGATCCAGAGAGTGAAAAACAACCAGCGCAACATCAGTGGAGTGAGACACACACACACACACACACACACTCAGAACCACTGACCATCACAAGCACACACTGTTTTATTTCTATAGCGCATTATTCAATGGAAATTGTTTCAAAGCAGCTTCACAGTAACCCAACAGGGAAATAACAGAATCAGTGATGAGCTCAGTGTTGATCAGGTGAGTGCGTGTGTGTGTGTGTGTGTGTGTGTGTGTGTGCAGCTCTTCTACACGTGGGACTCGCGGCTGATGAAGGGTTTGACGTCGACGCTCAATGACACTCCAGAGATCCGACTGGCCCGAGAAAACGCCAAGAACACCAGTGACGTGAGTTACACACAGACACACACACACACACACACACACATGCTTGAGTCTGATAATGTTATGGGCCTCATGTCTATAACCATAATAAACAAGCATATATGGCTCTCACAACGCCTCCTTTTACTATGCATAACCTCATCTGCATATCATTTACATATACATATACTGCCAAACCAAACATTATCCAGACACCAGATATCATTTGTGATATTTTTCACTAGTGTGATCAGAACACTATAGTTCATTTATGCAAGTGAGGAGAGCAAAACAAAGTAAACTGTGACATATTACACCCAAAAACTCTTCATACCAGTCAAATTTATACAAATTCGGGAGCAGAAATGATTCCTCCACTTTGAGCTGATCATGTTCTGCTGAAGTGTGTTTTCTGTAATTGCTAATGCTCTTTTTACACACACACTGAACAACATGAAGCATTGCTTGGTCACTGGTTGAGCTAAACTGGTATTCTCTAATTGTGTAGTTAAATTTAACAGCTGACAGATATTCAACATAATTCATGTGTGAGAGTCTAACAGAAGGACGGACAAAACCAGTCAAATATCCACTGATCTGAGAACTCTGAGTTCTGCTCATGTTTATCTCCATTTTCTAAACTATAGCGAATAAACTGTGATAATGTGAAAAAAGCTGTCAGAATAAATGTTGGTTTGACTCTATGTTGCTAAAATAAACACACGCTGAGAGTTGGTGTGTGTGTGTTGCTCGCAGGTTCAGTACCGGGAGTGTGTGGGATCGGGAACAGCCGTGACGGACACTCCTGAGATGGAGCGGGTCCGCCGGAACCAGCAGAACATCAGCGCCGTGAGTCTGTGTGTGATTGACATGTGTCCGTCATGCTGTGTGACGTGCTGCTGATCAGAGTGTCAATCAATCATCATCATCATCATCATCATCATCACCATTATCATCATGCAGGTCAAATATAAGAAAGCGATTGACCCGGTCAGTGTGGGTGTGACACCGGAGCTGGAGCGGGTCAAACAGAACCAGCAGAACATCAGCTCGGCAAGAACCACACGCACACACAGACAACATATTTCCTATTTTAAGTGCCCTATTATGATATTTTAAAGGCTCCTAATGTTGTTTCTGAGTCTCCTACAACAGATTCACATTCACCCAAGCTCAGAAACACTGTAATGTCCTCATAATCTCCACTGCAGCTTCAGCTCTTTCCTCTCAGTGTCTGAAACGCTTCTGTGCAGATTCAGTCTCTAAGCTCCGCCTCTCTGAGAGCTGCTCTGCTGTGATTGGTCAGAAACACTGTAATGTCCTCATAATCTCCACTGCAGCTTCAGCTCTTTCCTCTCAGTGTCTGAAACGCTTCTGTGAAGATTCAGTCTCTAAGCTCCGCCTCTCTGAGAGCTGCTCTGCTGTGATTGGTCAGAAACACTGTAATGTACTCATAATCTCCACCGCAGCTTCAGCTCTTTCCTCTCAGTGTCTGAAACGCTTCTGTGCAGATTCAGTCTCTCTAAGCTCCGCCTCTCTGAGAGCTGCTCTGCTGTGATTGGTCAGAAACACTGTAATGTCCTCATAATCTCCACTGCAGCTTCAGCTCTTTCCTCTCAGTGTCTGAAACGCTTCTGTGAAGATTCAGTCTCTAAGCTCCGCCTCTCTGAGAGCTGCTCTGCTGTGATTGGTCAGAAACACTGTAATGTCCTCATAATCTCCACCGCAGCTTCAGCTCTTTCCTCTCAGTGTCTGAAACGCTTCTGTGAAGATTCAGTCTCTAAGCCCCGCCTCTCTGAGAGCTGCTCTGCTGTGATTGGTCAGAAACACTGTAATGTCCTCATAATCTCCACCGCAGCTTCAGCTCTTTCCTCTCAGTGTCTGAAACGCTTCTGTGCAGATTCAGTCTCTCTAAGCTCCGCCTCTCTGAGAGCTGCTCTGCTGTGATTGGTCAGAAACACTGTAATGTCCTCATAATCTCCACTGCAGCTTCAGCTCTTTCCTCTCAGTGTCTGAAACGCTTCTGTGCAGATTCAGTCTCTAAGCCCCGCCTCTCTGAGAGCTGCTCTGCTGTGATTGGTCAGAGAGCAAACGCTCATTATCATATCTGACTCTCAGCTCTTGATCACAGTGATACGAACAGTAACGATGGCGTGGGTTTACCGTCTCGATCTCAGAAAACAGCGTCTTCTCGACACGAACAACACGAGCCGAACTCTTCCAGTCTCAGATACACTACAGTGTTTGAGGGCGGGGCTAAGAGGCGTTGCTCAGCCAATCAACACCAGAGGCGGGCATTATGCTAATTAGCTACATTGTAACAGGAAGTGAGACTGGAATTACTGACGACTCGTTTCAGTTCAGAATCACTTTCTTTTAGGAGACAAAAATGTTATTTATCTGCACTTTGAGTTTTAAAACATTGCAGGCCTTTTACACTCACAAACAGCTTTATTACACACTGCATGAAAGTTAATATCCAGAAAAGCACAATAGTGGCACTTTAACTCTGTCTTTGAAGAACAAGGATCCACATGATCTTGGAAACTCAGTGTAACAGTGACTCTCGCGTGTGTTTCAGGTGCAGTACCAGCGGGGTCTGCAGGAGGTCAAAGGTCACTCGTGCTCAGAGCTGGACACGCCCGAGATGAGGCGTGTGCGCAAGTCTCAGGAATCCGTTTCCATGGTAGCAGGACTGGGCGACGCCTGCGTGTGACACCACAGCACTAACATGTGACCGAACGAACACGCGTGTGCTAATAAAGACTCACGAACCGTGTGTGTGTGTGCTTATCAGAGACCAAACGCACCGTAACAGACACCTGTGTGTGTGTGTGTTTATCAGAGACCAAATGCACCGTAACAGACACGTGTGTGTGTGTGTGTTTTATTGTGATGGTGTGTGAGTGAGTGTGTGTGTGTGTGTGTGTTTTATTGTGACGGTGTGTGAGTGAGTGTGTGTGTTTTATTGTGATGGTGTGTGTGACGCTCTCCGTGTGTCTTTCAGGCCAAATATCACGAGGAGTTCGAGCGCACGCGGGGTCGCGGCGCCACACACACCCTGGATGTGCAGCACATGGCGCGTCTCCATGGAGACCAGGTGCGAGGCGGTTACCATGGAGACCAGGTGCGAGGCGGTTACCATGGAGACCAGGTTGGAGGTGGTTGCCATGGCGTCCAGCCGCAGGTGGTGGAGATGGACCGCAGGGCAGGAGGAGCCGCTGGTCAGTCCATCATCACAACTCTCGAATATTCATGAGAGTTTTTTAATATTAATATGATTCTTTATTGAACTTTACTACACTTTAGACCGACGGATGTTTGATGTTAATCTTGTTGACGTCACTGATAAAGTTTCTTCATTTCATTATCCAGTATGATCGGTTTAATCGATCGGTTGTTCAGATTCATCATTTGATCTTTGTTTTAATCTGGAGTTTTGCTCTTCATCACTTTCACACACAACTGATCAAAAACATTTGGAATCATTATGAGTCTCTTCTGCTCATTAAGGCTGCATTTATTTGATCATACATTTGAAAATACAGTAAAACAGTGTAATATTACTCCAGTGTAAATCATCTGTTTTCTATGTGAATATACAGTAAAGTGTAATTTATTCCTGTGATCAAAGCTGATGTTCAGCATCATTACTCCAGTCTTCAGTGTCACATGATCCTCCAGAAATCACTCTAATATGAGGATCTGATGCTCAAGAACATTTATGATTATTATCAGTGTTGAACACAGTTTGTATGTTTGTGGAAACTGATACATTTTATTTTTCAGGATTCTGAATAGAAAGTTCAAAAGAACAGCATTTATTTTAAATAGAATCTTTTGCAACATTATAAATGTCACTTTTCATAAATTGAATGCGCCTTCGATGAATAAAAATATGAATTTCTTACCGAGCCCAAACGTTTGGACGCAAGTGTTCATGACTAACATATTCCTGAAGCTGTTGATTGATCCAACCCTCTCGAACTTTGACCTTTGACCTTTGACCTGTGACCTGTGTGTTGCGCTGAAGAGATGAGGGTCTGGAGGACTGATCCGGGATCCATCTTTGACTTTGACCCGGTGGAGGACAACATTCAGTCTAAAAGCCTTCGCAGGATGACCGGTACCAGACGCACGACAGCCAATACACTGACCGTCAGCGGCGGATCACGCGTGTCGTAACGCTGTGTGTGTTTGTGTGTGTGTTAGAGCGTGGCCCGCAGTCGGTGTGCAGCTCTCTGGGTTCAGAGCTCTGGGCCGATCGCAGTGCGTCCGTGTGCAGCAGATCCAGTTCAGGCAAGACCACGCGTGTGTGCAGTGTTGGGGAAAGTTACTTTGAAAAGTAATGCGTTACAATATTGCGTTACTCCCTTAAAAAGTAACTAAATGCGTTACTTTTGCGTTACTTTTCCCCCACCTGGGCTGGACTTGTTTTTTTGTAACAAAAAAGTATTATTTTTAGACAAATGTAAATAAAAAGTTAAATAATAAGCCTCAGGCTGAAAGAAATGCAGATTCACGCGTGTACAGCGGAGTACAGTAGAGTACAGTAGAGTATAGTAGTATCCATTAGAGTACAGTAGAGCACAGTAGAGTATAGCGGAGTACAGTAGGGTACAGTAGAGCACAGTAGAGTACAGCGGAGTACAGTAGGGTACAGCTGAGTACAGTAGGATACAGTAGAGCACAGTAGAGTACAGCGGAGTACAGCAGAGTACAGTAGTATCCATTAGAGTACGGTAGGGTAGAGTACAGTAGAGTACAGTAGTATCCATTGGAGTACAGTTAGAGTACAGTGATGTACAGCGGAGTACAGTAGAGTACAGTAGAGTGCAGTGTATGCGGTAGTATCCATTTGAGTACAGTAGAGTGCAGTAACGTACAGCGGTGTACAGTAGTGCACACTAGTGTACGGTAGTGTCCATTGGAGTACAGTGGAGTACAGTAGAGTACAGTAGAGTACAGTGGTGTACAGTAGTGCAAGCTAGTGTGCGGTAGTGCACACTAGTGTACGGTAGTGTCCATTGGAGTACAGTAGAGTACAGTGGAGTGCAGTTGTGCGCGGTAGCGTCCAATAGCGTACAGTAGAGTAAAGTGGTGTACAGTAGAGTACAGTGGGGTACAGTACAGTGCAGTGGGGTACAGCAGAGTACAATGGGGTACAGTAGAGTACAATGGGGTACAGTAGAGTGCAGTGGGGTACAGCAGAGTGCAGTGGGGTACAGGAGAGTGCAGTGGGGTACAGTAGAGTGCAGTGGCGTACAGTAGAGTGCAGTGGCGTACAGTAGAGTGCAGTGGTGTACAGTAGAGTGCAGTGGCGTACAGTAGAGTGCAGTGGGGTAGAGTAGAGTGCAGTGGGGTACAGTAGAGTGCAGTGGGGTACAGTAGAGTGCAGTGGCGTACAGTAGAGTGCAGTGGGGTAGAGTAGAGTGCAGTGGGGTACAGTAGAGTGCAGTGGGGTACAGTAGAGTGCAGTGGGGTACAGTAGAGTGCAGTGAGGTACAGTAGAGTGCAGTGGGGTACAGCAGAGTGCAGTGGGGTACAGCAGAGTGCAGTGGGGTACAGTAGAGTGCAGTGGGGTACAGTAGAGTGCAGTGGCATACAGTAGATTGCAGTGGGGTACAGTAGAGTGCAGTGGGGGGTACAGTAGAGTGCAGTGGCATACAGTAGAGTGCAGTGGGGTACAGTAGAGTGCAGTGGGGTACAGTAGAGTGCAGTGGCATACAGTAGAGTGCAGTGGGGTAGAGTAGAGTGCAGTGGCGTAGAGTAGAGTGCAGTGGGGTACAGTAGAGTGCAGTGGGGTACAGTAGAGTGCAGTGGGGACACAGTAGAGTGCAGTGGGGTACAGTAGAGTGCAGTGGGGTACAGTAGAGTACAGTGGGTACAGTAGAGTGCAGTGGGGTACAGTAGAGTGCAGTGGCGTACAGTAGAGTGCAGTGGCGTACAGTAGAGTGCGGTGGCGTACAGTAGATTGCAGTGGGGTACAGTAGAGTGCAGTGGGGATGCAGTAGAGTGCAGTGGGGTACAGTAGAGTGCAGTGGGGATACAGTAGAGTGCAGTGGGGTACAGTAGAGTGCAGCAGTGGGGTACAGTAGAGTGCAGTGGGGTACAGCAGAGTGCAGTGGGGTACAGCAGAGTGCAGTGGCGTACAGTAGAGTGCGGTGGCGTACAGTAGATTGCAGTGGGGTACAGTAGAGTGCAGTGGGGATGCAGTAGAGTGCAGTGGGGTACAGTAGAGTGCAGTGGGGATACAGTAGAGTGCAGTGGGGTACAGTAGAGTGCAGCAGTGGGGTACAGTAGAGTGCAGTGGCATACAGTAGATTGCAGTGGGGTACAGTAGAGTGCAGTGGGGGGTACAGTGAGTGCAGTGGGGTACAGTAGAGTGCAGTGGCATACAGTAGAGTGCAGTGGGGTAGAGTAGAGTGCAGTGGCATACAGTAGAGTGCAGTGGGGTAGAGTAGAGTGCAGTGGCGTAGAGTGCAGTGGGGTACAGTAGAGTGCAGTGGGGTACAGTAGAGTGCAGTGGGGACACAGTAGAGTGCAGTGGGGTACAGTAGAGCGCAGTGGGGTACAGTAGAGTACAGTGGGTACAGTAGAGTGCAGTGGGGTACAGTAGAGTGCAGTGGCGTACAGTAGAGTGCAGTGGCGTACAGTAGAGTGCGGTGGGGTACAGTAGAGTGCAGTGGGGTACAGTAGAGTGCAGTGGGGTACAGTAGAGTGCAGTGGGGTAGAGTAGAGTGCAGTGGGGTACAGTAGAGTGCAGTGGGGGGTACAGTAGAGTGCAGTGGCATACAGTAGAGTGCAGTGGGGTACAGTAGAGTGCAGTGGGGTACAGTAGAGTGCAGTGGCATACAGTAGAGTGCAGTGGGGTAGAGTAGAGTGCAGTGGGGTACAGTAGAGTGCAGTGAGGTACAGTAGAGTGCAGTGGGGTACAGTAGAGTGCAGTGGGGACACAGTAGAGTGCAGTGGGGTACAGTAGAGCGCAGTGGGGTACAGTAGAGTACAGTGGGTACAGTAGAGTGCAGTGGGGTACAGTAGAGTGCAGTGGCGTACAGTAGAGTGCAGTGGCGTACAGTAGAGTGCAGTGGGGTACAGTAGAGTGCAGTGGGGATGCAGTAGAGTGCAGTGGGGTACAGTAGAGTGCAGTGGGGATACAGTAGAGTGCAGTGGGGTACAGTAGAGTGCAGTGGGGTACAATAGAGTACAGTGGAGTACAGTAGAGTACAGTGGGGTACAGTAGAGTGCAGTGGCGTAGAGTAGAGTGCAGTGGGGTACAGTAGAGTGCAGTGGGGATACAGTAGAGTGCAGTGGGGTACAGTAGAGTGCAGTGGGGCACAGTAGAGTACAGTGGGTACAGTAGAGTGCGGTGGGGTACAGTAGAGTGCAGTGGGGTACAGTAGAGTGCAGTGGGGTACAGTAGAGTGCAGTGGTGTACAGTAGAGTGCACTGGGGTACAGTAGAGTGCAGTGGGGATACAGTAGAGTGCAGTGGGCACAGTAGAGTGCAGTGGAGTACAGTAGAGTACAGTGGGTACAGTAGAGTGCAGTGGAGTACAGCGGGGTACAGTAGAGTGCAGTGGGGTACAGTGGAGTGCAGTGGGGTACAGTGGAGTGCAGTGGGGTACAGTAGAGTACAGTGGGTACAGTAGAGTGCAGTGGAGTACAGTAGAGTACAGTGGGTACAGTAGAGTGCAGTGGAGCACAGTAGAGTACAGTGGGTACAGTAGAGTGCAGTGGGGTGCAGTGGGGTACAGTAGAGTGCAGTGGGGTACAGTAGAGTGCAGTGGGGTGCAGTGGGGTACAGTAGAGTGCAGTGGAGTACAGTGGGGTACAGTAGAGTGCAGTGGAGTACAGTGGGTACAGTAGAGTGCAGTGGAGTACAGTGGGGTACAGTAGAGTGCAGTGGGGTACAGTGGAGTGCAATGGGGTACAGTAGAGTGCAGTGGGGATACAGTAGAGTGCAGTGGGGGGTACAGTAGAGTACAGTGGGGTACAGTAGAGTAAAGTGGTGTACAGTGGAGTACAGTTTTGTGTAGTAGAGTAAAGGGGTGTACAGTGGAGTACAGTTGTGTGCAGTAGAGTAAAGTGTTGTACAGTAGAGTACAGTAGAGTACAGCAGAGGTAGAGTGCAGTGGCGTACAGTAGAGTACAGTAGAGTGCAGTGGGGGTACAGAAGAGTACAATGGGGTACAGTAGAGTACAGTGGGGTACAGTAGAGTACAGTGGAGTACAGTAGAGTACGTTGGGGTACAGTAGAGCACAGTGGGGGTACAGTGGAGTACAGTGGGGGTGCAGCAGAGTACAGTGGGGGGTGCAGTAGAGTACAGTGGGGCACAGTAGAGTACAGTGGGGCACAGTAAAGTACAGTGGGGGTACAGTGGGGTACGGTGGGGTACAGTAGAGCACAGTGGGGGTACAGTGGAGTACCGTGGGGGTGCAGTAGAGTACAGTGGGGCACAGTAGAGTACAGTGGGGTACAGTAGAGTACAGTGGGGGTACGGTGGGGTACAGTGGAGTACAGCAGAGTACAGCGGGGTACAGTGGAGTACAGTAGAGTACAGTGGGGCACAGTAGAGTACAGTGGTGGTACAGTGGGTACAGTAGAGTATATTGGGGGTACACTAGAGTACAGTGGGGCACAGTAGAGTACAGTGGATTACAGCAGA